CCAGACGGCTTCCATTTCAGATTGCTCGAAGAATTAGCACCCGTTCTGGCCGGCCCTTCGATAATATTATTTCAAAAAACTTAAACGAAGGAACTTTGCCGACCGACGGGAAAGAAGCTCAAGTAACACCATTTTTCAAGAAAGGTGACACAAGTTGCCACGGTAATTATCGCCCTGTCAGCCTGACAAGTGTTGTTTGTAAGCTAATGGAATGTGTTCTGAGAGACGGGGGTTATCGATCACTTGACTGTTCACCATCTCATATCAGATTGTCAACATGTTTTTATTGCCGGTAGATCCTGCATCACTAACTTATTATCTACCTTGAACGATTGGACTCGCCTGCTGGACGAAAGGGAGCCAGTGGATGCATTGTACCTCGATTTTGCCAGAGCATTTGTCAGTGTTCCGCTTGAGCGGCTGATGCGTAAAGTGAAGACTTTGGGAATAAAGAGAAACGAACTCCAATGGATTAGAGACTTTCTAGAAGGTAGACGACAACGTGTGTTGTGTCCCTTGTCACAAGGTCCTTCAGACTATTAGAAATTGTAAATTAAATTGAATCGTCCATCTTTCTTAAATTAAAGAAAGAAGTAGCTTCTTGCTACCTTACGTTTAAACAAAAGGATTGAAGCATCGACAGCCGCTGGTCATGCTAGCGTGTCGTTTACTAAGCCATTTTCCTCTTTAAATTTCTCACCTCAGTCATTCATCTGCATGCTAATTTTCTCCTTAAGATTGGCCCAGTGATTAATGTCATTAAACTTATTTAACAGCATGCAAATTACTAACCATTGAAACTTAACTTATTTGGGCTGATCTTGCTTAATTAATCTTTAAATATTTATCATTTTCTGGCTTCATCGCCTCTTAAATGGATCTTTCATTTAAGGTAATTCATGATCTGTGAATTTTGTCTTATATTTGATTAACTTAAAATCTTGCGGTCCATCCTAAATTAAATTACTTATTCATCCTTAGCGGCAGCTATTGAACAATTTCCTTTTCTGTCGCAGAACAAATCTGGGGTGACTTCTCGCAATTTACGTGCCACTCGCACGTAATCGCCAGCTGCCTCCACTTACTTCTCTGCTGGATTGAGGACTACAACCAAATCGAAACCTTGATCCACGCCCTTCCAAACTGATTTTCCATATAAATGTCTTACGGCAAGATTGTTGACCATATTCATGATTGAATAAACGTTGTCGCACCCGTGTTGGACTGGAAATTGGTTTCATTAACTAAAAGACGACAAGGACCTTGTGTCTGACGACAACAAGGTCCCAGAAGGATTACTAGAATTTGAAACAAGAACCAACACCAGGGGCCACGGCTATAAACTAAAAAACTGCGTTGCAACTTCTCCACGCGACAAAATTTTTTCTCGCTTCGAATCACCGACATGTGGAGCAGCCTCCCCGATGACATCGTTGGCGCTCCGAGTATGAACGCGTTCACAGACTAGATAAAGCTATGGAGAAATATATGTTCAGACTTAAAATTCCTGGCACCACATCGAACCCGGTGTAAGTCTAGTAAATATTTCAAACTATCGACAGTTCGGAAAAGCTTCGGTCGATGGGCCTGTTTTTTAGATCTCCTAGGGACAAGTCACGAAAAGTACATGAATGACAGGCCACATCAGGCTATTCTTCAGCGCCGACTTCACTATGCTATGCTATGAGGATTTTATTTATTAATAAGGTTGAGAAATAACCCCAACCCAAAGATGCTATCGCAAACACAGTGAAATCCAGTGTAACCGCCTGCTGTGTGCTTGCATAACAATTGTTTACATTTTTCACTTTACAATTGCGAGAAGTTTCAAGAAGAAGAAGATGAGTGCGAGAAATTTCATCTTCGGTGATGAATGCAGCTAGAAGTAAACCTAAACAAATAATATTTTTATATCTTATATGCGTGATGATTATTGAAATATAAGAGACGTAATTCAATGTCATTATAATGAAACATTCAGTGGAAACCGCACCTCCTCTGTATTACTCACTCATATTGCACGACTTCACCGTGGCAGAGCATCAATAAGCCCTATTACCCATAGGTAACATGGGGCACCAAAAATTTACTTTTTTTAATTTTTAACCCTAACACTAAGTGCATGGAATGAGTGGTGGTCGTACCGTCACTACTGAGCATGAACGACTTCTCCCTGATTTGAAGCCTAACTAACCCATTTTTATCACAAAGTCAACTGTCCCTGAACCTTTTCTGCATTAAACGCACTATGACCGATCAGTGGCTGCACCAGAGAGTAAAAAACTTGTACATCTAAAATATGCCGGAAAATGGTAGTGTGCTTCATATGTTATATTTTATAGATAGTAATAAGACATCTATAGAAGTTCAAATTGACAAAGCGACCGCTACGTATGAATGGAACTTTTCACTTACTTCAATCTCATGCAAATGTCTAACAGAGCAGCAATTGTGTATTGAAATACGCTTGAATTTTTCTGAAAAATTCAAGCGCGTTTTATTGTATTAAGGCCTAGATGGCGGGTATGGTAACTGTAGTTTTAAATATGTTACCCCGCCATCACGATCCGTGGCCATGTGCTCTATGATCTGGAGGGAACAGCGATAAAGTCTACGGATAACTTCATTGAATTTCAGACCTATATTGCATAGACAAATTTTTTTATCCAAGTTGAACCCCTTACTACAGCACCCACCATTCTCCTTTCAAAATAATGTGAAAAATTCGAATCCTGTTACAAATTATCGATTATAAGTGTCATATTAAGACGATCGAGCAACAAATTATTTATTCGGTAAAAACCGCTTGAATAATGTACTGCCGAAAGCGTAAAGCCCTAAGTTATAATATAAATACGATCGAAAAGATTAGTATTAATGAGGCTGATTTAAAATTTAAAGAATAATTTCGAGGAATAAAACATTAAAAATATAATTATTTTACCATTATATTATTAAATTCATAGTTTGCGTTAAATGAATTTCGAAATCACATGAAAAAAAACAGACAAAATTTATCTCTGTTATAAAAAATAATGCTGAATTTCCTGAAACTATTTTTCAAAATTAAATTTGATATAATGGATTAATATACTATTGAAAAACAATTACAGTAAATCAGCTTTAAGTTGCGGCTGTGGACATCCGGCGCTATGGCTTAGAGCACTTGACTTCATAGGCTGTTATGCCCTCTAGCGTTCTTACCTACGGAAAAAAATATGAACCAAGTGTGAAGTTTGGCAAAGCTGGCCTCCGGCATGCGCCCCGTAGCGCGGCAGATGCAGAATAGGCTTGCTGGTGGCTGTGTCTTAAACGATGTTGCCAGAAGGCTTTAGTTGAAATTAGCGAAGCGCGGTAGAACTATCGTGAATTACATACTAATAATTGTCAGCAAGACGAGGTGATCATTACCTCATTTTCCATCACGTCACCTCATAGGAAGGTTATAGGTTTTGAAACTAATCAAGTGATAATTGGAGCTGTGCTGCTGAGAGAGCTGACGCTAAAATAATGGCATAAGAAAGACTATTTGAATTGTTTAACTATAGCAATGTATCTACTTTATATGTAATGTAAAACTTATGCTATGTTCTTTTATGTTATTCTGGGGTAAGTTGACCGACCAAACTTTGTTGAGAATTTTTTACACATTTTTGAAGCTCTCAATATTTTTGGGGGAACAATTTCTGTTGAATAATTTTCGATGATCTCAAACTTCCTGCGTCACAAAGCCAAGTAGCAGAAGCAAATATTATGTGTCCAGCAGCTCTACTTTCTGTAAGTCAGCCCAATTTTGTTTGTACTTGATTTAATTAATAGGAGCTATACTCCATGTAGCTTCAAAATATCAATAATATGTTTACCTAAAATTTAATCTTCCTGAATTTTTATTTACCTTGTATACGCTTCCTCTTCTATGCAGGGCAATTATGTACGTTTACAATTGTCGTGTGCCAATATACGTTCTCAATGCACGAGGTAATTTGACTTAGGATTCCTGCCTACATCATGAAACGTTTGTTGATGACTAAACATAATTTGCCTTGAAAGTTTTTAGCTCAATAATAAAGTAAATAATGTTCAGGAATTAGAGGAGAATATGTAGGATCCCTCAGTTAAGGATCTGTTGCAGTCGAAACACTAGTCTAGTCTTCGTGATTCATGGGTTGTAGCAATTCAAATTATCTAATATTTTGTGTAAATTGCGATCGGTTGCAACAAAACCTGGAGCTGAATAATATTTTCTCAGTTTTTCTGACGCGCTCATATTTGGATGAACTTTTCATAACATACGTGCAAGGACGAGGTTAAATGTTTGCATGTCCGTCACAAGGTCAACTTATATACACATACTTCATTATATAGATTTTTCATATTCTGATTTATCGATTAACAAAATTCATGCTTCTTCTCTTGCAAATGAAACATTCTTGATCATTTAATAGAATAATGACTGAACTACACCATTAGCAGATAAAATAACATGATTTGTATCTAATTCCATGTATATTGGAATTTTTCTTGTTTATCCTCATTACTTTCTTATAGTTGCGCGCATGCGCGACGGCGTATTTGTACTCTGCTTGAACGGTTCAAATTTCTATCACTGATGTACTGAAAATTGAAATTTCTATTACACTGAAATTTCTATCACTGATTCTATTATGATGTAAAGATGATTGATGATGAATGCAATTCGCTTTACTTCGTCTTATTGACACAATGGAGTGCGACAAGTTTCATTTTTGATGATGAATACGGCTAGAAGTAAACCTGAACAAATAATATTTTTATATAATATATGCATAATTATTATTGATATACGAGAGGAGTAATTCACTATAATTATAATCATATTCAGTGAAAATCAGACTAACGCTGCAAACTCCATGACGTCGAATCTTTTTCTTGCCACAGTTACATTTCATCTGCCCCAATTACCATGCGGTAACTTAGGGCTTCAAAAAGTTAATTTCTACCAATTTCAACACTAACACATAATGGGCAAGGCGAGTAGTGGGTGTTGTACCACTACTACTGCGCATGAACGAATTTTTCATGATTTGAAGAATAACTGATCTAATCACATGATTCGGTAAACCGTCTCTGAACCTTTTCTACAGTAAACGTACCAAGAACGTTCAGTGGCTGCATCACAGGGTAAAAAAATTGTACATCCAGAAAATGCCTAAAAATGAGTAATGAGCTTCACTGGTTATTATTTGATGATAAAAATCAGACATATATTTTAAAAGTTAAAATTGACACAGCGACCGTGATGTGAGTATGGGACTTTTCACTTACTTCAATCACAAGGAAAAATTCAACAAAGCAGAAACTGTGTATTGAAACACGTTTGAATTTGCCTGAATTTTTTTTACCCGCTAAACTATGAAATAATTCACGCGTTTCATTGTAATATGGTTTAAATTTAGGATATGTTACCTGCTGGTTTAAGTACGTTACCCCGTCAGGACAATCCATGGCCATGTGCTCTATGATCAGGAAGAAACAGCGAAAAAGTCTACGGATAACTTTAATGAATTTCAGACCTATATTGCATAAACCAATTCTTTTCTCCAAGTAGAACGCCTTACCACAGCACCCTCCATCCTTCTTCCTCGAATTCTGTTACAAATCATCAATTAGAAGTGTCATTTATCTAGCAGCACAAACTCATTACAGACTATTTGTTAGGTACAAACCGCTTTAAGTAAAAGAGTAAAGCTCTAAGCTACTACATAAATACAATCGAAAAGATTAGTAATTGAAGAGGCTGGTCTTATTGTATAGATATAGTCTTGAATAACATGTAAATAGCACATAATTAATTATGAGTATTTTCTTTATTAATAAGGTCGAGAAATATCCCTAACACAAAGATGCTATCGCAAACACAGCGAAATCCAGCGGAACTGCCTGCCGAATGTTTGCATAACAAATTTTTACATTACTCTTTGCAATTAAAATTTTTTGCTTTAACATCACATTAGGTTTGATCCTTGTAGATTCGTCAGTTCATTAACCAAACCTTAGATTTTACTGATATAATGATCAGCAGATAATTAAATATTACAGAGATAATGATCAACATTTATGGGGCGTACTAAGATTATTTATTGCAGTTTTATTGTTTTTGAATAAGGAAAATGGTGAATTTTAAGTATTATTACTGATCGTGGCATTTGTCTAAAACGATGCAACCCGTGTGCATGTGACGTGACCATAAGCAGCGGCGTAAGCCGACTTCTGACGGTCGCGCCTTAATCTTCACTTGTGTTGTTGAAGTCGACCTAGCCGGTCACGGTTCCGGTCGCTTCCTTAGATTTAGAGGCCTTAGTTTAAGTGAATATATTTTAAATTTAGTGTGGAATTCAGTGTGAAATTTAAGTGAAATATTACTAAAAACTGGAGTTAATTTGATTTCAAATAGTTCTTTGATGGGAGCAGCACGTTGCGATTTGCTCATGGGTCTGGTCGTGACAGTTCATGTGGTCTCCATTCATTTACAGCCAAACAGATAGCAACCTGTTCACGTATGTTAGATAATTCATGAATAGCCCTGTTGAAGTTTAACTATACGCCTTCGAGCATTGGACTTGGCAGCACTTTGCCCGACGTCTGTCATCTGACGTTGTGTCCTCCGACGCGTGCCGTCCGACCATCCGACGAGTGCCGTCCGACCATCCGACGAGTGCCGTCCGACCATCTGGCGTGTGCCGTCCGACCGTCCGACGTGTGCCGTCCGACCATCCGACGTGTGCCGTCCGACATCTGGAGCCTGCTAGTAGCGTGGGACCTGCCCTGGGACTGGCGTGTGCCCTTGATAGTGAAGGTGAGCCATATGAGTTGTCGCAGTTCTTGGCTCATGATCGGGGCGTACGTGCTGCTGTCCTGAGTAATCCTAAAAGAACCTTACATCCGCTAAAACCTATAACTGATAACTATAACTGACAACTATAACTGATAACTATAACTATAACTGATAACTATAACGATAACTATAACGATAACTGATAACTATAACGATAACTGATAACTATAACGATAACTGTATCTAACTTATAACTGCAATTGAATTCCTCTTGTGCACCCACAGCTTCACGATCGTCAGTGGCTGGGAGCGTACGTTGTGAGAAGTTCCTACCAACCGGAGCCTGAGCTATAGGTTTCGCCTACTTTGTGCCAGTTACCCATTTCAATAAATATATTGAACTTGTGACATAGTCACCACATATATTTTGTTTCCATTCCTTCGTTTAACTAATTATGAGGATTTTGCTTATTAATAAGGATGAGAAATATTGTCCGGCCACGCCAGGTAATTCGTCGACGTCGCACTCGCCGCTAGACCCGAAAAAATTAGACCCGAAAAAATAAACGCTACACAAAACGTTTATGTACTGCGAGATGCAGCCATCAAAGTAACGAAAACTTTCGTAAACCGCAGCAGTTAAAATCCAGCTGTAGAACAACGTCCTCTAGTCGACGTCATCACAGAAGTTGTTCTCGACATGAAAGCCAGCTTAGTCTTCAAGAAGCCAATGACCGCGTAGCAAACGCATATTCAGCACTTACGCATCATGTGGTAGCCACAGAAAAAGATATCTACCGAAAAACCCCAGCGAGGAGCGTACATAAATTGTACACCGAGAAACACCCAGCAGCAGCAACGAGTTCAACGGCCGCCGACACGTCGACTGCATCAAGCTCAGCAACGGCGGCCCCGCGAGGTAACCGACGAGGCCGCGGCCGCCGGTCGCGACGTGGTGGCCGAGGATACCGTGGCAGAGGTGGGTACCAGGGTTGCCATGTAGGCCGTTTTCCGGCATTTTTTCTACGGCTCTCAACGGCAAAAATCAATTATGACCTTATCTTTGTTGTAATTTTCGACGTATAAAATAAAACTTTAATTGCTGTTCCGTTAAGTACAAACTTACTAGTTGATTTGGGGCTCGTGAATCAGACTTGGAGGATTCCGACTAATAGTGCCATTAATATTAATTTAATGGCACTATTAGTGGCACTATTAATGGCACTATTAGTACTTCTTTCCAGCATATCAAAATATCATTTGATAAATATTATTATTACAAATATTAAGGATTCATTGTAAGCATATATAATCTGCACTGATTATCTTGATTACAAATTCCGCATTTTTGTTGACCTAGATCCTTCTTCCAAAATTAAGAGAAAAATTCGAATTCTGTTACAAATCATCAATTAGAAGTGTCATTTAATTAGCACCTCAAACTTATTACAGATTATTTGTTCGCTCTAACTAAAGGAGTAAAGCCCGAAGTTACTCCGTGAATACGATCAAAAAGATTAGAAATTGATTAGGCTGTTCTTATTATATAGATGTAGTCTCGAATAACATAAAATATCACATAACTAATTATGAGGATTTTGTTTATTAATAAGGTCGAGAAATATCCCCAACACAAAGATGCTATCGCAAACACAGTGAGATCCAGCGGAACTGCCTGCCTTATTTTGGATAATAATTTTTTGCATTACACTCTACAATTAAAATTTTTACTTTGACATCACATTAGGCTTGGTTCTTGTAGATTTGTCAGTTCATTAACCGAACCTTAGATTTCACCGATTTAATATTGATTTTAAATATGTTACCCCGCAAGCACAATCCGTGGTCGTGTGCTCGATGATCAGGTAGAAACTGTGGTGAATTCTAGTGTAACTTCAATGAATTTCAGACCTATATTTGCTAAACAAATTCTTTTCTCCAAGTAAAACGCTGTACTACAGCACCCTCCATCCTTCTTCCAAAATGAGCTGAAGAATTTGAATCCTATTACGAATTATCAATTAAAAGTATTATTTGCTTAGCATCACAAACTATTTACAATATTTTGATACAAAGTAATTTATTGTTTGATACAAACCAACGACTAATTGTTTTATACAAACCGCTTTAATAATGTACGGCTGAGAGCGTAAAGCCCTAAGTTACTAAATGAAAACTATCGAAAAGATTAGTAGGTGATAAGGCTTATTGTATATAGTCTTGAATAACATGAAAATAGCACATAACTAATTATGAGGATTTTGTTTAATAATAAGGTCGAGAAATATCCCCAACACAAAAATGCTATCGCAAACACAGTGAGATCCAGTGGAACTGCCTGCCTTATTTTGGATAAAATTTTTTTTTTGCATTACACTCTCAGTTCATTCATTCATTAACCGGACCTTAAATATTTCAGAGATAATGATCAGCATTTATGGTAGCAGACTAATATTATTTATTGCAGTTTTAATGTATATAAATACTGTAAATGGAAAGCTGGCCGATATAACGCGATTATTAATTTCCTACTAACGGACTAATTTTTCCAACATGGATACTACCCTGTATTTTTGTTTTGCCTAATACATCTTACCCAATCTTAGCCGCAGTTAATAATGAAATAAAGATGCAACATACGGATCGACTATTTATTAATAATAATTTTTCTCCACTCAACCTACCATGCGTTCGTAGATCTAACAACAATAACTGAGCATTCCAAAAAATTAACCTGATTTGAAGCCACACTAATTTATTCGTAAAATACCGCAAACCCTTTCATGGCGTTAGTTACAATGAACAATTTCCCGTTCAACATCGAATTTTTTTTTCGCCATGGCTCCATCTGCAATTTAGATACATGAATGAATTTAATGCTGTTTACTGTGTGCATTGTAATGTAGCAGTGACTACAGTGCAAGTACAATTCCCAATGCTATTTGGGCAGGGTGGCCCAGTGGATTAAGTTCAGAGTACCAGGTTTAGAGCAGAGAGGCGCGGGTTCGATCCCAGCTCTGTGCGCCAGTTTCTGGTCAGAATCGGCGAGGAGGCCGGGCGGTTAAGCATAGCAGAATTGTAGCAGTGAGTTGCGAGTTCGAGACCGCAACATGCTGTGAATGGTCTGAGATGTTCAGAATCGGCGACAGGCCTACGGCCTAATAAACACTGAAACCGCTATTAGCATTATTATTTCTATTATAGTGGCCAGTACTGCTCATCAACGTATGTTGTTGCAATCTTTCTATATAATTTAGAAGAAATAAAACGTAAAATTGAAATTATATTATTATTATATTTTGCGGTAAGTAAATCTATGAATCACATGAAAAAATTGCAATAAAAAATGCGCGACGGCGTATTTAGTAGCTGTGCGCATGCCCGACGGCGTATTTGTTCTTTACTAGAACAGTTAGCATTTCTATCACCGACGATGTAGAGATGATTAGTGATGGTTTTGATTCTCGTTACTTTGACTTATTGGCACAATTAAATGGAGTGCGAGAAGTTTCATCTTAAGTGATGAATACGGCTAGAAGTAATTCTGAACAAATAATATTTTCATATCTTAAATACTTAACGATTATTGAAAAATGAGAGGTGTAATTCACCATAATTTTATTCACATTCATTGAACACCACACCTACGCTGCACATCTCTCATACAGTAGAACTGTGCTAAATCAGTTACTCATTCTTATCAGCCTACTTACCCTTAAGGTAAGTTAAGGCTACAAAAAATATAACTCGTAGGAATGAGGAAATTGCATACTATGAAATTGAGAGAATTGGTGGTCGTACCGCCACTACTGAGCATGAACGACTTTTACCCGATTTGAGGCATAACTGGAATATTTACATATTGGGTCAACCGTTGCTGAACTCTATCTACAGTAAACGTACTATGAACTTTCAGTGGCTGCTGCATAAAGGTAGAAAACGTGTACCTCTAGAATGTGCCTAAAAAGCGTAATAAGCTTCATTTTTTAATGATAGTAATACGACATCTATTTTAAAAATTCAAACTGACATACATGGTTACAGCGACTGTGATGTAAGCATGGGACTTCTTACTTACTTCAATCTCATGCAAATATTAAACAAAGCAGCAACTGTTTATTGAAATACGTTCGAATTTACCTGAAATTTTCATAACGCGATTAACTGTGAAATACTTCACGTGTTTCATTGTATTATGGTCTAGATGACGGATAAATTAACTGCTGGTTTAAATATGTTACTCCGCCACCACCGTCTGCGGCCGTGTGCTCTATGATCAGGCGGAAACAGCGAAAAAGTCTAGGGATAACTTCAATGAATATCAGACCAATATTGCATAGACCAATTCTTTTCTCCAAGTGAAGCGCCTAACTACAGCACCCTCCATCCTTCTTTCAAAATTAAGAGAAAATTTTGAATTCTGTTACAAATCATCAATCAGAAGTGCCATTTGTTCAGCAGCACAAACTAATTACTGACTATTTGTTAGGTACAAACCGCTTTAACTGAAATCGTGAAGCCCTAAGTTACTACGTAAAAACGATCGAAAAATTAGTAATTTATGAGGCTGGTCTCATTGTATAGATATAGTCTTAAATAACATAAAAATAACACATAACTAATTATGAGGATTTTGATTATTAATAAGGTCGAGAAATATCTCCAACACAAAGATGCTATCGCAAACACAGAGAGATCAATACAAAATATTGATTTCTGGAAATCAATACAAAATCATAGCATAATAAATCAATCGAAAAAATCTATATTCTATTGCAACTGCGTATTTATTAGCTGTGCGCATGCGCGACGACGTATTTATTAGTTGTGCGCATGCGCGACGGCGTATTTGTTCTCTGCTCTTCTGCATAGCTCACTCATATTGCACTACTTCACTTCTACGGTGGAACAGCATCAATAAGCCCTATTACCCATACGGTAACTTAGGGCACCAAAAAGTTTTCCTATTTACAACTTAAAGTTAATTTTTAATAAGTGAACTGGAAGGCGTGGTGGTGGTACCGCCACTACTGAGCATAAACGACTTTTCCCTGATTTGAAACCTAACTAATCTATTTTTATCATTTATCCAACTGCCGCTGAACTTTTTCTGCAGTAAACTCACTATGACCGTTCAGTGGCTGCACCAGAGAGTGAAAAACTTATACATCTAAAATATGCCTAAAAATGGGTAATGTTCTTCATTTGTTATATTTCATAGATAGTAATAAGACATCTATATTAAAAGTTCAAATTGACTTACAGCAACCTTGTGTATGAATGGAACTTTTCACTAAATTAAATCTCATGCAAATCTTTAACAAGGCAACAACTGTGTATTGAAACACGTTTGTATTTACCTGAAATTTCCCCGACCCGCCGAACTGTGAAACAATTCACGCGTTTCAATGTATTAAGGTCTAGTTGGCGGGCA